CCGCCAGTCCCGACACATTCCCCCCACTCATTCGCGATGTCCTCATCGCGCACCAATCACTTGTCAGTGGGTTTTTGAGGGGTAGACGGAAGAGGAGGATGAAATATCATAGGTGGTTAGTTTGTCAGGGTTCGTTTTGTCTTTTCTCGCTCCTTTCCTGGGTTTCTTGTAGTTTCCGGCCTTGGAGCGAGGAGGGGTGTGTAGGGTCAAACTTTCTTTGTCCTTCAGGCTTCACATGTCTCATTCATCACTCTTAGAACTTCAAACCCCTTTCGTCTCATTCATCACTCTCAGAACATCAGACCTTTTTCGTCTCATTTATCACTCTCAGAACATCAGACTCCTTTTGTCTCATTCATCATTCTCAGAACATCAGACCCCTTTCGTCCCATTCATCACTCTCAGAACATCAGACCTCTTTCGTCTCATTCATCACTCTCAGAACATCATACCCCTTTTCTCGACTCCCCTCTTCTTTCCACCCCTGCTTCTCCCTCGAGCCTTGCCATTCCAAGTGCCCTTTTGTTGTTCCTCCATCCACCCTGTGCCAACTACATCCCTTTTCTAGCCCCGGTCGCACTTCGCGCTTCTTTTACTCGGCTTTTCGGCCCGTGCAATCCACGTCTCCCGTCATTCTTTCCTCAATCTCATGCTTAGCCAAGTTCACATGTATTTTTCCCATGTCATTTTGCCTGGCTTTCTCTAGCCTTGCCAGTTTCGCATGCATGTCACCCTCATTCGACCTTTCTTGTACCCAAGCTCAATTAATTTCAAATGCATGTTACTTAGTCCATTTCATACGCATCTTTCTTCTGGACATCTCGCAGGCCTTTCTCAAAGTCATGCAAAGTCAATTACACATATATCTCTCTTCCGGGCATCTTGCCAGACCTTTCGTCCAGCCTACGCAAAACCACTTACACATGCCTTTCTCTTCTGGACATCTTGCCATACCTTCTCTCAACCCCCCGCAAAGTCAATTACACATCCATTTATCTTCTGGACATCTTGCCAGACCTTTTCTTCAAGCCCATGCAAAGTCAATTACTCATTCATTTCTCTTCTGAACATCTTGCCAAGCCTTTCTCAAGCCTACGCAAAGTCAATTATACAACCATTTCTCTTCTGGACATCTTGCCAGACCCTTCTCAAGCCTACGCAAAGTCAATTATACAACCATTTCTCTTCTGGACATCTTGCCAGGCCTTTTCTCAAGCCCACACAAAGTCAATTATACAACCATTTCTCTTCTGCACGCTTTTTCATCGGTAAATGACACACCTTCCCCCCACTCAAAATGCGATGTCCCCATCACATAACTGGTTCTCACTTGGAGGTACGCAGACCTTGCATTGCCAACTGAGTAGACGGACGCCGGCTCATCAGCCCCAAAAAGGAAGGGTAATCAGTCCTCCCCCTGATGATATCTCACCTCATCCCCTACCCTAGTCCGGCGGCCACTTCTCTAGAGATGGGCATCGTCATTGAGGTGTCTCCTCGCAACTGTTAGGCGGGTCCAATCCGAGCCTCCCAGGACCCCATCATACCACAAGCGGCTCCCTCGCAAACCGTTCCTCCCAAGTGGTGTTTTCTTGGATCTGGCCTCTTCGTTTCAAGAGAGTTGGGGCTCTCAATTAGTTTGCGAGTGCAGTTATGAAGACCTCGCGGTTAGTCCCGGAACGGTTGTAATGATCCGGCAGGGTGGTGTCACTCGCCCTGTGGTGGTTGCGGCTTCCACCCAGTACCACGCCCGACCCCTCCCTCTGGACAGTGCCGCTCAACTTAATGCGAGCAGCCTTTGTCCATTCCAAACGACCACACCGCCCTTCTACAGCATAACGTGTGGTTGGGGAGAAAAAATGAGACTTAGGAAAAGAATGGCTCTCTTGCCCGTTTGGCTCCCCGCCCTTGACGTTTAGGTTATCAACATGAGGCGCAGTTTGAACTCCCCGACTAGAGCTCGTTGTCGGAGTTAGTTCCACACGGCCAGCATCGATCAAGGAGAAAGATGCCTTGGTCCTTCAACCCTTATCCTTCCTTATGAGGAATAGGTCACGCTGAAACTTTCCCTTGGCGGGTAGAGGTCCTGGGGTTGCGGTGTGTGCATCGCTATCCCCCTTACGTTGAGGTCTGAAACTAGAAAGAAAGGAAACTCAATCTCTTGCTATTTCCATAGTCGGCCCGACGACCTTTCATCAAATTGCCTAGGGTCCCCTGACTTATGCAATGCAATATCCAGTCGCTCAATCCAATGTCATTTCCAGTCCTTTATCACAGCTGATTCTCATGGCTGGTCCGACAGCCTCTCATCAACAAGGCCACCCCACGTGACCGATCTGGTGGTCGCTCTTTCAATAGCCATTTCTCAAGACCGACCCTTCGGCCCATCTTCAATCCTCAACTTTCACATTTCTCAATATCCAATCCTTATGACTGTCCCAACGGTCTATGCCCTTCTCGTCTTAAGTCTCGACCTTCTTTGTCCTGCCCTTCTCTTTTCAACGCATCATTCTCTTTTCATCCATCCTCATGGCTATTTCAATGACCCATCCATCGACCCTTTTCCATTTCACATCACTCAATCCAGCTCATTCTTAGTCAACCTTTCTCAATCAATTATGCAGGGGACCCCAATGCCTATTTCAAAAGAAATGACCCTTGTAAGGGGCCATTTCCGAACAACCTGGTTAGGGTCATTCTTTTCCATTCTCAAATCGAACAGCCTGGTTAGGGTAATTTCTTTCCATTCTCAAGTCGAACAGCCTGGTTAGGACCATTCCTTTCCATTCTCAAACCGAACAGCCTGGTTAAGGTCATCCCTTTCCATTCTCAAGTCGAACAGTCTGGTTAGGGTCATTCCTTTTCATTCTCAAGTCGAACAGCCTGGTTAGGATCATTCCTTTACATTCTCAAGTCGAACAGCCTGGTTAGGGTCATTCCTTTCCATTCTCAATGTTAGCGCCCGAGGGGGTGGGCCACGAGGACACGGATCCCGTTTATGTCTCGGAGGTTAGAAGGTGGCCATCTCTTTTCAGTTTTCTGCGTGCGGTTCCCTTCATCCATTCTCAAAGCAATTTATTATCTATGCATACATCCGACTTAGCGTCTAGTGCTCAAATTGAGGCTCACAGCCCCAAGCAGTACTAGCCCACCCGACCGTTCAACCATAGCAAAAAAACGGGGCACCCCCTTTATTTTCACTCTCTCTGGTTTCTCAAATCTTAGCTATTCTCAGACTCATTCATGACTCAGTTGGATTAGGCTCCTAGGGAAGGAGTGTTCTTCACGCCCCTTAACCCATAGGTTCCCTAACCCCTCTCGTACTCGACCGACATTCAACGCCTTGCTTTGCTCATCAATCTGTACTCACAGTTTCTCTTGTGAAAAGCACAATCCTCATTCCATCCAAAGTTCACAATACACCCTTCCCAACCAGTCTTATCCCATGCCCCGTGCCATTATCTTGTCTACACACTTTCGAAGGTGGCTCATCCAGAAAGTAGCCTCAAAATGTTATCTTCTAACCCATCGTAACCCAGTCTTAGCTAGTCCTTTTTATCCCACATTCCTCACAAGCTTACTCATACTATACAAACCCTGTCATTCCATATTTGCAAAAAAAAGGAAATCACACTTTCTTATCCAACACTGAATCAACAGTTAATCCCTATTGCTCCCATGTGCCTCAACTCGCTCGCTCTCTTGCTCGTCCTGTGTTTTTGCTAGCTCTTTTACCCCCAGGCCGGAGACCATGATTTCTCTCCTTCTCCTTACGATCTCTCGTAACTCCATCTCACTGTAGAACCCCTGCCTTTGCGAGTTCCGAGTCTTGATAATCCACTCATGTTTGATCACACTGAGTCATTGTTGAAACCGATGGTTGGGCGTTGACCCAAACTCATCCTCCCATCTGAAGGCCCCTTCGCGCGGCTGGTGTATCGGGGGCCGCCTCTCTTTTTTAGGCCTCGAGATTTTATCCTTCTCATCCCCACTGCTGATCTCTATGACCTCTTGTACTTCCTCCTCATCCTCCTCTTCTTCCATTTGTATGGGGCTGTACCCACCCGTCAAGTTCTTTGGATCGTAGCTATAGGGAACCTCTGTCCTCCCTCCATATCCTTCTTCAAAGTCCGGATACCTCCCCTCACAACTGTCGTGGCCGCTCCGCTCTTCAAGCGGGTTTTCCCTTCTCTCCTCCCCATCCTCAAGTTCGTCGCGCATGTCCTGTCTCCCCTGGCTTTCCCCATGCCAAGACTCACGCTGCTCCCATTTCTCGGCCCCTTCCTCGTAAGTGGCTTGAGCCTTTTCTCTCATATCCACTTTGCCCCCTTATCCCACACTCACCCTTTCTTCCTCGCTCTCACTGTCGGATGTGATATATATACCTTCTCCCTTCTGGAGAGGCAAAGGTCCTCTACATACACGCTTTCTCGCACCCCTGCCCACCACTTGCTTGGACATGAACCCTATGTACAATTTTCTCTTGACAATCCTCCGCTCTCGACTTGGCCCCGCTCCTCCCTCTTCGGTAGGTCTGTTGACTGCCCCGCTATCATTCTCGTTGCCGAATTCCATTTTGCTTTTCTTAGGTTATCTTCCTGACCCTGTAAAGCAGAACAACACCCGCCAAACCCCTCATACACACGTTCCCCCAGTCCGGTAGGCAATTCCCCTTTCCCCCAAAATATTCCCAGTACCGTTCGCATCATGCCGCTATTATACATTCCCTTCTCATTCAAATGCCCCATTCGTGATGATCCCATTATTTCCCCATCAAAACTATGATACAATGCTCCCGACAATCTTTCCCATCGTCACACAAGGCTCGTCATCGCAAAGTCCCAAGACATCTTGCCTTCCAACTTAGTCAGTCCAAACCATTGTCCCAACCCGAAAAAAACGACAGTCCCACAGACGCAGTCAGAGACCATACCATAGTGTGGGCAAGGCCGTTATAAGTCCTTAGCTTGTAGCCCCTCAGATTCCTTGTCCTCGGCCTCCTGAAGCGATTGTTCCACTGAGTCCCGACTTAGAAACCTGACCAATCGTTGCCCCGGGAAGGGTCCTTTCAATACAGTTCAAAGGTGTTCAGTCCCACCCGCTTGGCGACCCGGTAGGGGCCTTTGAACCTCCTCCCCAGCTGTCCAGACCAAGTACTTTCTAGTGCCGAGTTCCTTAGCAATACCGTCTCCCCCAATTGAAGTGGCTCCTTTCTGACATTCTTAACCTGGTCCCACCTTGCTTTGTCCCTCATTCTGCTGTCTTGTACCCGATTGGCGATGCCTTCCATGACCTCCTCGTTCCTAAGAACTTGTTGACATCTTGCTTCAATCAATTCTTCCGTGGTCATTCGCGGATCATCATCTAACCTGTTCCAGGCAGGTATCAAGGCTTCCACCGGAAAGTCGATCTCTCTTCCGTACCAAAGTTCTGCTAGGATACATCCCGTTGTCCTCTTAGGTGTCATGTTTTCTGAGAAGACAGTCTGCTTAAGATACCTAGGCCAGCTCCCCAGATTGTCCGCTGCGAGCTTCGCAATTGTGTTCTTTAAGGTCCGGTGCCCTTTTTCCACAGGGACATTGGCCTCCGGATGATATGGCTCGATGAGCTTGATCGGTACACAGAGCCTTTTAACCATTCCCAACACTTCTTGGTTCACAAATTTTGTCACATTGTCTTCTATAAACCTCTTGATGAAGGGATGCCTCAAGTAGAAGTCTTCTATCCAATCCGCTACACTTCTCCCTGTCTTTTTCTTGCGAGCGACCGCCGCTACGAACCCACTCAAGTTGTCTCGCGCATCCACCTGTACCCATCTGTTGATACAGGCATGACCGCAAGGTCAAGGTGGACCAGATGTCCCGGCCTTAGTACCCACGTTGGTCTAAGCGGCTCGAAGACGCGTGCCGAACTCCGTTCCGTGCAGATCAGGCAGGTTTGGCAGTACGTGGCGACCATACCCGCCATGCCTGGCCAATAATACAGCGACGCTATCTTCCCAAGAGTTCCTTTGGACGATCGATGTCCTCCTGCTAGTCCGTCGTGCATTGCCTGGATCACGTCCAACTGTCGAGGTCTCCCGCACACAACTCTTCTAGGCATGGCACCCTCCTCCCTTCTGAACAGGTGACCACCCCTCAGAACGTATCTTTCGGCCTCCTCCCTTGCTTTAATGCTGACTTCCATGGGTTGTTTATTTCCTACCAACAACAACCCAATCTCCCAAAAAATCCCTTCATATATCCGAGCATAGAAAACTCCCTCCCTTTCTGGTCCTCGTCCTTTCTTTCCTGCATCTGGTTTGCCATCCACTGCAACTCTTTCCCTTCCCAAGATTCCACTAGGCTCATCACGGCTTCCCGGCCTACCTCAACCGCCATTGCTATTAGTTCCTCCTTCGATCCTACCATCGCTCCCCACAAATCTTTCTCCTCTTGGCGACCTCGAGTGATGACTGGTCCTTCTCTAAGTTCTGCTACTATGGTAGGTGCCCCCTTCTCCAAAGTCCGGATCAACAGTTCACCTGACGCGCATTCTTCGGCCATCATTTCGTTATCCACCGCAAGAGTTTCTTCTTCGTATTCAAGGAATGCGTCTATGGGCTCCGCATCCTCCACCCCTTCGGGAGTGATGCAGACCCGACTCAGCCCATCGGCCTCGTTTCGGATTCCGGCGATTCGTTCAATCTTGTAATCGAGCTGCCAGATAAATCCTACCCATCTCCCCACCGTCGGATCTATAGGCCTGTAATTCTTTAAGGTCCCTGCGACATTCGTTGGATCGATCCTTAGGATGAACCGCCTCCCAAATAGGTAGGCCTGAAAGGTCGTGAGGCAATGCAAGATGGTTAGGACCTCCTTCTTGAACTGCGAGTACCACCGTTCTGCGGAGTTCAGGGTTCTACTTTCGAACCTAATTGGTCTCTCATTTCCTTCCTCATCCTTTTGAATAAGCATGCCTCCTACGGCCAAGGGTCCTCCATCCGTTTCTAGGATGAATGGTCGTCCCACTTCGTCATTAAAACAGGGTGCGAACAAGGCGACTTGCTCAAACGTCAGTATGTCCTTGAGTGTTTGGACGGCCCCTTCTCGCTCCTCCGTCCAATCCATGGTCCCTTCTTCTCTAATCATGGCCCGGATAGGCTCAACGATTTTGGCAAAACTTTTAATGAAAATCCTCCAAAAGTCGACCACGCCTAAGAATGCTCTTACCTCCGTTGTCGTGCGCAGGGGTGTTGGCCATTGTGATATCTTGTCCGTCTTTGCCAGATCTGGCTTCCTACCGTATGCGCCACAGCGAAATCTTAGTATGGTTACTTCCGGTACTGCTAGAATACTCTTTGGTCCACTAGCTGTGATGTTGTATACTAGGAACCGGTGGAGTAAGTCCTTGATGTCTTGTAGATGGTCCCATACAAATCTTCGGATTCCCGGCTGGACTTCCGTCTCGTCCTTCTCTTGAGCGCCTTCTCGTACTTCTCAGGGAACATGTCTCCGGCTACAGCGAGCATTCTCCGTTGCGTTTTGGCTACCGCGTTTGTGAAGCCCATAAGGGTCACGTGCATCTGCAAATGGCCTACGGAGGTGTGCATTGCGGTGTATGGTCTGTCCCGAACATCCAATGGAATCTGGTCGTACCCTGAATACAGATCTATCAGGGAGTAAATGCTCCGGCCGGCGTGCGGCTCTGCTAATAACTCGGCCTGAGGTAGCGAGCCAACATCTCGGATGGTTACTGCATTCAACTTCTGCAAATCCTGAATCCACCTCAGCGTCTTGTTGGGCTTTCGAAAGACGAACCACCGGTTTACGTATGGCGACGCCGTAGGCTCTGCGACAAAAGAGTCCATCTTTGCTCGAAGAAGGTCTGTCACCTCCCCCACTATCCCAAACTCATAGGACGGACCCTTGTCATTCTAGCACTCATGCTCTACCGTGTGGATTCTGACCGGAGGAATCAGCTTCGCGTCCAGCCGCCCTTTTTGGTGATCACTAAAGGCAAATGCTAGGTGAAACTCCTGGTAGGTTTTTTTTATCAGGCGGGTTTCTTCTTCCGTTAGGAATCCGTCTACCCATATCTTCATTGTATCAGCAACCTCATCTGGTATCCAATGCCCTTCCGTCGCTCTCCTCTCTCGGATCACTCGAAGGACTTCCTCCTCCTTCTCCATAGCCTCTTCCTTTGATGTCTCTAGCAGGATCGAGACCGGTTTTGCTTTCTTCCCTACCGGCTTGTACTTTCGAACACTTCCTTCCGGGATCTTTCTCCTAAAAAATGAACGGCCGGGATTACCCTCGTCACCTCTACGGTTCGTGGTTGAATGCTGACTAATTTTCCATTCAGACAATATCCCTTTTGCACTTCTCTTTCGAATTTGGCCAATGTCGCCGAGTCCACTCCTACGTTGTGGAATCTGATGGCCTTGATGAGCTGTAACAAATTGGGAATCTCGAGTGCGACTTTTGGCACGTCCACACGCACTTCTTTCCGCTTGGGCAGGCTGGCTCCGAGTTCGACTTTTGATTCTCTTTCTGCCACCATAACACCTAAGACTTCGTCCTCCTGCCTTCTCTTCTTCTGAGGCAGGCCCATCTTGATCCATTCCTTCTTATTGAATGCTTCCTCGATCATGATTTCTACCCTTTCTCTCATGCCCTCCATCCGCGCAAAACCCCCCTTCCGCGCGCTATCTTCGAATGATGGTGACCATGTTGCTAACTTCCCCTTCGGAGGGTCTCCTGCCGTCCCAAGAAGTCGGAGGAGCTCGCCCCTGCCGGTCACTGGGTTCTCTATGTCTACCATGTACATGCCATCGTGCAAGTGCATGCCTATCATTTCTACGTTTGCGCACCATGGTCTCCCGAGGATTATGTCGTGGTCCATTTCCTCCATTATTGTCATCCGTTGAAACGACCAGATCGACTCCCTGATTCCTGCCTTGACTGCGCATTTCGTGACATACCCAGCGAATGAAATTTCCCTGTTGGCTCCCCGGATGCTTCCTGTTACTTCCTTATTTACCGTACAGCCCGTGATTGCTGCGAAATCTCTCCTTACGATAGTGATTTCCGCTCCCCCGTCTACTAATGCGTCGGTATGATGAGTCCCGATCTGGATTTTCAACTTTCCTACGGGTAGCGCATGGAAGCTGAGCTTTGTTCCGGGAGGTGCCCTCATGATCTCGCCACCTTCTCGGTCAGGCAAGCTCAGGTGAATGTCCGCAAAGGCTTTCTCGAGATCCTCCAAATCCCCGCGACTCCTCTGAAGGTTAGCGACCTCTTGCGGAGCTTCCTCCTCCCCTTCCCCTTCCGGTAATTCGGGGTTTTCATCTATTTCTACTCGCCATCGAGTCAACAGTTGTCCAAGCCCTTTGAGCAACCTAGGGCTGGCCTGCAGCATGGTCTGAAATGACACCGATATCATGGTTCCTAGTAATTTGCTAAGGGTGTCATCCATCTCAGGCATGGTTAAGATTGGGATTTGATACCTAAACTTCTTTTTAGCAGCGGTAACTTTGTTTGTAGGCTCCTCTTCCCTAGGCTTCCCATAGACTTTCTCTGGTTCCCCGGCCTCGGGCTCTGCCTGGGGTACAGAGCTTCCAGCAACCTCCTCCATCACGGTGTCACGGATAATCCTTCTCCCAGCCGTCCCTAGCCGAGTAGTCGCGTTCACCCTATCACGTCCGTCGTTTTCCAGAATGAAGTTGACTTGCGGCCCCCGGCCCCGAAGTTGATCCCAAATAATATCGATCACCGGCTCAGCCTCTACGGCCGCTATCTCTAGCCCATTGAGCATAATGATGGCTCGCCGCATCCCCCCTGGCGAGTTCCAATTCACTCGTTCTCCCTGCGGTCCGAATATCTCTCCCTTTAATGACCTAGTACATCTCCTTTTTAATATATCATGGTTGAGTTTTGGACATGCGCACACAAAATGCCCCACCGCGGTGTAGTACTCGCATTGCTCATTAGCGGGATTTGTTCGTCCGAATCCTCGATTGGCTACTCCTGGCAGAACTACGGCTTCCTGGGGAGGGAGGGCGGGTCGGGATACTTGCGCCTGCATAACCAGTAGCGCGTTCTCCACCCTTTCAATCTTGTTGTCGACTCCGTGCACCCGTTCATGTAGACTTTCAATCCCCTTCTTTACCTTGTCGCATGTCCTACCAGTGAGATCTATGACCTCCCCTTCCTTAAGCAAGGCCAATGTCTCAGTCACTATTGTCTTCTCGGCTTGATCCGTTACTGTGCTAAAATCAACATCCCTGGTGTTTACAAACTTGCTCGTCTGTTGGTAAGCCGACAAAATCTTGTCTTTGTCAAACTCGGAGAACTGCCTGAGGAAGTATTTGCTCATTATCCGGTCCGTGACCCCGGGGATCCTTAGTGCTACCAGAGTAAACTCCCGTAGGAAGTCATTGTACGTAGCCATTTTCTCCTCTGAACTGCCACTAAATCGGCCTCCGTAGCCATTTTCTCCGCTGTCAGGTATTTCCTCATCATCACATCCCGGGTTTCCTTCCAGAATCGACTCGCGGCTACGATGGCCATTATGTCCCGCCCCAAGCTCAAAGACACATGCTGCCCCGGGTGGTCCATCTTTTCTTCTTCGGTCCATTTCAACAATGCGACCAGATTCTCGTAATCTATTAGGAATTCCGTGATGTTCGCCCCGTCAAACGTCAACTTTTTCTTAGTGTCCGCTAGGTAGCCTTGGTTTTTGTTCAGTGCTCGCGCGAGGGATGATACTATCTTCCCAAGGCCGCCTTCGGAGCTACTGGCCTCGCCCGCCATACTGGTATCCTACCCTTCCTTGTCGGCCTTTTGTCCCTCCCTAGTCTTTGCAGTTCCTTCCGGGTCGAACCATCCCAACACCCTTTCCCTAAGGCTCCAAAGTCCTTCACATCCTCGCGTTACCGCTGGCGTGGTCGGCAGACGGCTAGCCCTACTGTCTATGGCTGGTGGGTTCGTAGCTTCCTCTGCCTCGATCCCCAGGGAATTTTTTCTCTCATTCCTTCTTTTGCTCGGTGTTCCCCCACGGTCACTACCCTTATCCCCTTGCCCAATTCCGCCTCGGCCGGTTTTCCGTTCGTCCCGCAGTTCCTCCTGCAGAGGGCCTTCTTCACTCCCAGTCATCATTTCCTCAATCAATCTTTCCTTGTTTTTCTATCTCCGCTAGTTTGCGCCTCGCATCCGTGACCCTCATTTTCTTAGACACAGCTCCCTCTGAATTTCGGGGGTTTGTCCTATCCTTATTTCTGCCCTCCTTGGTTTCCTAAGTCCCTTGCCTGCTTCCCCCGGCTTTTCCCGAGCTTTCCCCTGAGGAGATTTCCTTCCGGTTCCCTTTGGTACCATCCGGCTTTATCGATTTTCTGTCTTTCTGACCCTCTTCGCTCTGCACGACACTGCCTCCTAAGCCTGGTCCTCCTTCGCTCCTACAGTTATCCGTCTCATCCTCCATTGCCATTTTGCCTAGTTCTGCATAAACCAAAGGATTCCCCAGGACACACGCAGCGCGAGGCATTTAGGTTTCATAGGTTCCGGCTTCGTTGGCTTATCTTTATTCGGATAATAGCCTTCTCCCCATTTCCGTTTCCCGATTGCTTCCCTAAGAAGGGGCCGCGACCGGCCCTGCCGCCCTACCGAGCTAAGGGACATGACTTAGTTCCCTTTATCACAGGCTGGTTTAGAGTGTCCCTGTTCCGTCTGGCCGGCGCGTAGGAATCCTGGTTAGGCATCCCACCAGGGAAAGTTTCCCGAGCAACATTCCCCTTTTCGACCTCCAGGGTCATGGCAACCATTAGGAGTCTACACTCCCCCCTTTATTCTCTAACGGTTTTTTATCGTCCGGGTCCGAAGGTCCTTCCTGATTTCCATCGGTGAGCCCCTATATGTAGCGGACTATACTTGATTTGCCCTATTGGCCCACCCCCGGATGCTAGTCCCGTTCTCGTCCTCGCGGCCCTTCCGGTTCGGTAGGCTCCTCGAATAGTTGAGCCACCCCTACTAGATAACTCTCTCCTATCTCGATTTCCCTCTGGATTATGTGTTCGTATTCCGCCTAGGCTAGCCGTGGCAACCCAAATATCAGGATATGGATAACTTCCAGTAATTCATGGGCCCTGTTTCCCCAGAACGGCCTATGTTCCACAACCACGTCATAGAACATCCCGATGGTCTGATAGGGGAAGTGGTCTACCCAGATTATTGTTGAGTCTGTCAGCTCCTGCGCCCTTGCGAGGCTCCCGAAGATGAGGTCTATCATAAATCGGGGGACCTGGCACCTCAGCAGTGTGGTCGGTGCCCTGAATTCCCTCCAACCTCCCATTTCCACCCTGGTAAGTAAGTCCACGTTTCTTCTACCCCTGATTGATTGTCCTATCCGCGTCAACACCCGGGCCGCCCTCTAAAAGACTGGAGCCAGCTCGTGGCCTTGCGCTATTCCTATCCCCAGCAAGTGCCAGCCAGTCTCGGGTAGGTACAGGACCCCGGTTACCTCTAAATTGGAAAACAGGTCATCCCCAGGCCCCCGGTTGAGTCTCATCCCCGTCCACCGACATTCCACCAACATGAAGGCGTTGTCTCTCCCTAGAGTCACGGCCCGCCATTCCACGTTGAATCCCCGAAAGTTGGAATTTGACGGAAGGGACACTTCCCATCGCCTGCTGTTATTCCAGGGCGGTCTGGGGTACCGGGGCTGGCGTTCAGTCCGCACACGTCTTGCTGCCATTGTTGTTTCGGTAATTTCCTGCATAGTCCACATAGAAAGGATTGCGGCCCGTTCTTCAGCAACTGCCCATCTTCCTACTGTTTCCTTTCCCACTTATGTCCCCTTTCTTCTTTCCTGTCATGTGTCCCACATCCGGGCCCATCTTCCTTTGTTTCAATCCCCTCGCATGATCTGCTAAGCTAATGTACATGCCCCCCCCTTTCTTATGTTACACCCTAGTTTTACATGCGTCCTCCATACTCTGACTTCCCCGTGGCATTCGATTTCCTAGTCCCTTTAATCAAACCACAGTACCTCAAATAGTTTAAAGACATCATCCACGTAGGATGGAGTGGCCGCCGCCTCCCGGCTAACTATGGCGTCCCAAGCTTCTGCGTCTACCTCTAGGCGATCATACTTGCCTATCCTCAGGACAGTGAGGATTTCCCCAGCTTTATCTCCGTAGAAGGGCCCTTATTTTAACGAGATCCTATAAAATTCCTCAGTCAGCCAGACACACTCGATATGTCAAGCGAGCGAGCGAGACACACACACACACAC